GGAGAATTCATCAACAAGACAGCGGTCCTGTTGGGGAAGAGGCGTAAAGACATGCAAGAGGAAATAACAGATTCGGACTCTGACTCGGACGATGAAGTATAACCACTGGAAAGTTCTCATAGTGTGATATAGAGATAGCACCCAAACTCCACTGGATTCTCGGAACTTCGCTTCTAGTTTTCTCATAAATCATGTAACGATCTATTCAGTCAGACTTTTCTCAGGAGAGGTGCTCGATTGTAAAGGATAGATTCGATGATGATGACGACACTGGCACGGCTTGTGCGGTTCGAACCAGCGATCCTACTTATTTTGCATACTCTCGTGTGTACGATAAAATGAAGAAGGTCGTGACTGAAATGTTAACGTTAGAATGTGCTGATGCTAGTTACTCAATGTAAGTAAGGAAGGAGGCTCTTCGTAGCTGCGTAATGCCAATGGAAACAAGGGGGTTGTTTTTTTTCAGGGCGGAAGGTTATATTCGAGAGTTCACCGTTGGAGGGGAGGAACATGAGGATATGTGGATTCGGGATCCACTGGAGTGGCTCAATCAGAAGGTTTTCGACTCGTTTCGGGTGACCGAGTCGCTCGATCTCGAGTGTTCGGGAATTCTTCAAGAGTTCCAAAAGCTGATCCTCGCAACTGAAACCCCTCTCGCCTCACCGACAATTGAAGTATGTGATGAGATTCTGTCGCAGCTCTGTGGGACATATATGAATGCTGTATCTCCGCCCTCCAAGTTCCCAGCGGTTTATGAGGACGTGGACATGGAGTAAGCTCTGGGCTTCAGTCATATTTATCACCCGTAAGGCTGAGTGTGTGTGTGTTGTTGTCGTACATGATGTAAATGTCGAAAAGCCGTCTTGCGTGTTATAGTTATGATGAATCCCCTTCGACTGGAAGCGAAGTTTCCGGGTTGGGGGCCAAACTCTGGGCCAACAGCACAACATGATGTATGAATGGATATGCACATCTATGTTACATGGCGACATGTCACTCCATTTTCCCACCTCCCTCCCTAGGGTCTGGATAGGCTCCTCACCGATGAAATCACCTCGCATGTTAATAACATGATGTTATCGTCGACACAAACCGAGTTGGCTTGGTTTAAGATGGCAGCTCGACCTTGCTTGGGCCAGGTCATAAGCTGGTCTCTCACCCACTCTACGGCGTACGGGCTGCGGGTTGGCCAGACCTAACGTCTGATCCTTACCCGATCGTGGTCCACCTGCCACGAGTTGTTCGATCGAGTGGGACAGCGCTTCACTTTGTTCCGTGCTTCCCACTGCTTATTGACGGCTCAAAGCGGAACGCTGGAGGACGTTGCAGAGCTCTCATTATCGTCCCTTTCGAAGTTGAAGTTCTCCAAAGAGTATCTTGGATTCTATTTCGCCCGCCCGAAACTCCGAGCTATAGTAGAATACACCCGCTCGAATTTCGGGAAACTCGGCGCTCCCTCGCCAGGCGTAACGCACAATGGAAATTTGAATCATCAGCATCGGAAGTTTCTCAGTATTGTTAGATCCAAGCAGTTTCCTTCTCATCACAATGCGAACCAACATCATCATTAGTTTGATGGTCATTCAACCGATGGTGTTTGGAGTAACAAGGAGCCGCCCTTTGCATAGCGATGAGTCGTCCGTGTCCGTGGACGATGCGGAATCGGTCGAGTCCGGGCAACTATCCTCCACTGTGCATTCCTCGACGACATCAAGAGCAGCCCGTTTGCGACATGGGGTGGGGAGGGTGTTCCAAACACTTTCTATCCCGTTTAGAAAGATAGGGGAAGTGAGGAGGAGACGACGGGCAGATCGCCGGCTTCTAGCTCTCCGTCTGAGACCTGTTCGCGAGCATTTCGTGCATAGCCTACCAACTCCTCAACCAGTCGTGCCCCTGGCCAAGCAAAAGATGGTATTTTATAGCTCAGATGGTGACACTGAGGTAGAGT